GGGCCCCCACCCACCGCTCAGGGGTGGGGGCCGGGGGGGAGAACAGTAGGTCCCCCCCCCTTATTGTTTTATTAGGGCCCCCACCCACCGTGCAGGGGTGGGGGCCAGGGGGGGAGGAAGTAGTTCCCCCCCCCTTATTGTTTTATAAGGGCCCCCACCCACCGCTCAGGGGTGGGGGCCAGGGGGGGAGGACAGTAGGTCCCCCCCCCTCATTATCTTCATGGCCCCCACCCGCCGCTCAGGGTGGGGGAGGGGGGGAGGACAATAGGTCCGCCCCCCCTTATTGTAATTTATGTCATTTTTTTTCAACAGTGAGCAGCCACAGGCTGCTCACTGTTTAGTAGACATGCCCCTACTCGCGGTATAGCGAGTAGGGGCATTTGGGAGATTTTAATCTCCCTTGTGCTATTATGGGGGTCATATTGACCCCCATAGAGTGAGAGGGGGACCTGGGGGGCTTATGAAGTGGTGGGGAGCACTGCTCCCTGCCGCTTCTATCTTTACATATTACAAGGAGGGAGCTGCGTGCCGGTAGCTCCCTCCTTGTAATAAACTGAACGAACAAACTAACACTGATACATAGTGTTAGTTTGTTCGGCTGATCTTTCTATTCACTCATTCGTCTGTCTGATGAATGAATGAATAGATGAAATTCCCGTTCGCATGTCCAGGTGTTTCACTGGGCATGTGCAGGAATCTCACAGTCTGCCTAGTGTGGGCTGATGACGTGTCCCACAGGGACTTCATCTACCCACACAAAGATGGCGGCGCCCTGAATCAAGATCGGGGCAGAAAATAAGGATTAAAAAATAGGTAATGTGGGGGGCTTAGGGGCATTTGGGGGTGACTAGTGGGTCAATTGGATGTAGTGGAGGTGGGAGGGGGGTTAAAAAAAAAAAAACGGGATTCGGCATGACAGTGCCGCTTTAAAACAAAAGTCTACTGAATAAAATTGAATTACACAGCACAGCATTTCCCAATAGGCGTATCTACCGTCACATTCTATGTTTCTATGTTTCCGCAGAACCCTAGGGTTCCGCGAGAACACAGTTGGGGTTCCACCAAAATTTTTAAAAATAAAATGGGTCTGGGCGACGAGGGAGCAGTGGGCAGTGATCTTCCTGCTCAGCTCCCTCACGCACACAGCAGTGATACTGGAGCTGGAATATGATGTCACTCTGGCTCTGGCATCACTAAAAGGAGCACGAGCTGAGCAGGGAGATCACTGCTCCCTCGCCGCCCGCACGCCAGCTGCTCAGCAGCCCCACTGGACCCCTGGGACCACACGCTCAACCCAGCAGCCCCACTGGACCCCAGGGACCACACGCTCAGCCCAGCAGCCCCACTGGACCAATGGCACATAGAGACTCCATGCCAGCACTCCCAAAGGTAGGGGTGCTGGGTGGAGTAAAAAAAAAAAAAAAAATGTAGGTGTTCTTGTCAGTGAGTGTGTATGTGTTTGTCAGTGAGAATGTATGTGTGTCTGTCAAAGAGTGTGTGTTTGTCAGTGAGAGTCTATGTGTGTCTGTCAAAGAGTGTGTGTTTGTCAGTGAGAGCGTATGTGTGTCTGTCAAAGAGTGTGTGTTTGTCAGTGAAAGTGTGTGTCTGTCAGAGAATGTGTGTCAGTGTGTATCTGTGTGTCAAGGTTTGTGTATGTGGCACTGTGTGTATCTAAGTGTGTATGTCAGTATATGTGTGTGCCACTATGTATCAGTGTGTTTGTATGTGCCTATGGGTGTGTATATCAGTGTGTGTGTGTGTATATCTGAGTGTGTCAGTGTGTGTATATGAAAATGTGTGTGTGTGTGTGTCACTGTGTCTATCTGTGGCTGCAAGTGTGTGTATATGTCACTGTGTGTATCTGAGTGTGTGTGTATTTGTGAGTCAAGATGTGTGTATCTGTGTGTCAAGGTGTGTGTCTGTGTGTCAGTGTGTATCTGTGTGCATCTGTTTGTCAGATACATATACATGCACACACAGATATACACTGACACAAAGATACACACACTGGCACATATAAACACAGATATACACACCTTGACACACACCGGCACATACAAACAGATATACACACTTTGACACGTAGATACACACACCTTTACACACAGATACATACACACACAGATATAAACTATGTTTATCTGTGTGCCACTATGTGCCAGTGTGTGTATCTGTGTGTCAGATTCATACACACTGGCTCATGTAAACACAAATACACACACCTTGATACACAGACACATACAAACACAGATACACACACCTTGACACACAGATACATACACACACACACACAGATACAGACTGTGTTTCAAGGTGTGTGTATCTGTGTGCCAGTGTGTGTATATTTTTGTGTCAGATACATACACACAGATACACATTAATACACAGATACACACACTGGTAGATACAAACACACACACACACCGGGGGGTGTTTTTTTTACACCCAAATACAAAATTAATTGGGAACCCCTGGCTTAGAATATTATGTGACCGCTCTAGCCAATCAGTAGTTGGTCCAGCTAAGCAATATGTACAGCTTGGCAATATCAGTCTATATTCTGCAATTTAGATTTCAATTCACTAGAGTTTTGAGTTTAGCAAATAACACTAACACTGAAAAGTGACCGGAATTCAACATGAATTTCAAGTTTTAAACCAAAATAAGTGAATTGGAAGCATAATTGAGCTACTTTGGCCAAAAATGTGAAACTCATTTTGAATTCACTTTTAATTCCCAACAATTATAACTTTAGAAGATAACCTTGTGATAGTTCCAGTTTGTAACAATACATTACTGTATGTGTAACTGAACACTATGTGCCTTTTACACTCAAATACAGTGTATTTTATACATGGACATGATCAGAAAAATCAGTCACACCTTAATGTACTGTAACTTTCTAGCGATGAAAGCCTTCATGTAGCTTTCCTGCTAAAGTGGTGTTCATGGAGGAGACATTATCACCTTTGAAGATTCCTTATTAGAGGACCACAAAGATGCACATCAGTACACTGAACATTATAACAACCAGAGATGCCTTTAAATAGAATGTTAGCACCTTCTAAGATAAGACAATCTAGACCAATGGTTTCCAATCTTTTTGGACTATGGTACTCATGAATAAGAGTAAATTTCCAAGGTATCTCTCCTGTATTTGTTTTAACATCAGCAGCTTATAATGTCACATGTATTTGATTCCCTGCTAGAGGGATATCAATATTTTTAGTCAAACTTTTTAATTTTTTTTTTTTAATTAATTCCCAATTTTAATGTTGCCACCTGCCAAAAAGCTAATTTTAAGGACTTTATTCAATTTATTACAGCCCTGAATTCTATGTGTTCTAACTGTTAGCACAGTTTGGAGTGCAGAGGCACAATATTGTGTCACAGCGCACTGATTGAAAACCACCAATCTATGCAGCTTGTGAGAATGGGTTTAAGAGCATAGAGAAAGAGAAAGGTGAGTCAGACTTACCAATCTTTATTCTCAGACTATTGACTCAGACATAAAAGCTGATATCAGAACTCCAATATTTAACTGTAAAATGTCAACACAAAGCAAACATATCATTTTGGCTACAGTAAGAAGTCTGTGACCTCTGAGTAATGCAAATTTGCCTATACTCAATCCGGAGAAGTTGTTTTATGAAACACGTCATAGCTAAAATATAATCCAAGGGTTTGTAACACCAACTTCTTAGCTGTCAGAGTAGAGTAATAGACTCATGTTTTTTAATTCTGTTTTTTTGGTGTGCATATTATAACAAAAAATTTGCGCTGCCACGACAGCAGGAGCAAGCACAATAAGATCAACATAGCAAGACATAAGCATGACATTAAAATACCAGCACAATTTTTTTTTATTTTTTTTTAAGAGACATCAAAATCCAGGCTAGAATACTGCACAATTGTAAAAAATGGTAAAAGGAAGCTATACTTATATTATAGTCACAATGTATTAGTACATAAGCGTCAAGCTATACTGCACTGTCAAGTGTGTTATCACAGCTGGTTAACGGTATATAAGCAAGGTGCAACATAAACTATGACATCTCAGCTATCCATTGCTAAACAAAATGAGGGAATCCACCAGGTAAACATCTAAAATATATGCCAGTGTTAAATGGTAGGCCACTGTGAGACTACAAAAATATGCTGTGTTAGCTACGTGATAAAAATAAAAAAGGTAGGCATCTGATGGCAAACGGTATAAGAAAACTAACATTCTAGCATAGAACCACTGCCAGGTACATGCTTAATGGTAAATAACATCAACCGTTCATCCAATGCAAATAGTATGCTTCAAATGGGGACCTGTACTGCAGTTCTCCACGAGGTGCCCGGTGTCAATGCTCCAGCATCCTCTCGGATTAAAGAGATCTATGAAGATCTATGAAGGTGCCCGGTGTCACTGCTCCTCTCGTCAGACCACAGAGATCTATGAAGCAATGCTCTAGCCCTTCTGCTTCCCAAGTCCAGTCCGACTGACGAGCTGATGCCTTGTAGCCACTGGACCCTATAGCTCCTTTGGCAGGGTGAGCATCCCAAGGATTCTCCATTTTGTAGGTAGTTCCCCCAGGGTGTGGACGGCTGACGGGTGTTGTGTCCATCGTAGTTCTCAGCCCACAAACTCAGCATTGCAATTGGGCGCCAGTGCTTCCCGACGGGACTCAAATCGGCTCCAGAAAGCTGCGCAAACAGCATCAAACATTGCTTGGAATCTGGCTACTCAGTCGCCTGTGGAGAGATTAGTTGTTGTGGTGGCCATTTTAACTGCGCCACAGGGTTTTGCAGAATTAGTCGGCACAGGTGGTAGCAATTCAAAGTCCACAGTGGTTGCACCCTTGATGGGGACCAGGATAACCCCCACCAATCCAGGGGAGGTGGGAGGAAGGCGGGGGCAAGCGGGGCATGCAATTCACGCTTCGTATTCGCCATAAGGGTCTAGGCTGGTAGATTGGCCGTTTCTCCCCTCCAGGGACCACTTCAGGCTTGAAGACCGCGGTATAGTTTTGAGCCGTATATATCTGGAAGTGAGGCTCCAAACAGGCACATTGAAGCTCCATTGCATACAGGAACAGGTTGGAAAGTGTTTAGGAGTTGTTTGAAAAGTTAATCCCAGAGATTTTATGCCAGCTGACTACGTGTTGAGAAGGCTCTATTAGTATTTCACCACAAATACATAGTATCATATATTTTTTTTGTAATCATGTAGGTGTGTTATGATCAAATATGCATTCATTGCATGCAACAGTGGCAGACTTGGGGGTGGTGCAGGGTTCGGTCCGCCTCGGGTGCCACCAGGTAAGGGAGTGCCATGACCCTGGTCTGAGGGCTAATGGGGGATGTGTGAACTGCGCCCCATGTCAGCTGGGGTGTGGCACAGCTCACATGGAGAGATCAGCAAGCTGAACTGGCCGCACGGAAGAAAGCAGGGGGCGGAGCTATGGATATTTGGGGCAGAGCCAATCCAAGAGCTTAACATGGCCCTTAGCCGCTGCTGTTACTGCTGCACATGGAGGTGCAGCAAGATGGAATCCCTGCTCCACCACCTAACAGGCTCCAGCCAGGGAAGGACTTAAGGGAATCCACTCCTCCAGCCCACACTGTCTATAAGTAAGACTGTATGTGTGTGTGTGTGTGTGTGTAAAACTGTCTGCCTGTAACTGTGTGTGTGTGTGTGTGTGTGTGTGTAACTGTCTGCCTGTAACTGTGTGTGTCTGCCTGTAACTGTCTGCCTGTAACTGTGTGTGTGTGTGTGTGTGTGTGTGTAACTGTCTGCCTGTAATTATGTGTGTGTGTGTAACTGTCTGCCTGTAACTGTGTGTATGTGTGTAACTGTCTGTCTGTAACTGTGTGTGTAACTGTCTGCCTGTAACTTTGTGTGTGTGTGTAACTGTCTGCCTGTAAGTGTAAGTGTGTGTAACTGTCTTCCTGTAACTGGCCCTTACCCGCTGCTGTTACTGCTGCACATGGAGGTGCAGCAAGATGGAATTCCTGCTCCTCCACCTAACAGGCTCCACCCAGGGAAGGAATTAAGGGAATCCACTCCTCCAGCCCACACTGTCTGTAAGTAAGAGTGTATGTGTGTGTGTAACTGTCTGCCTGTAACTGTGTGTGTGTGTGTGTGTCTGCCTGTAACTGTCTGCCTGTAACTGTGTGTGTGTGTAACTGTCTGGCTGTAACTGTGTGTGTGTAACTGTCCGCCTGTAACTGTGTGTGTGTGTGTGTGTAACTGTCTGCCTGTAACTGTGTGTGTGTGTGTGTGTAATTGTCTGCCTGTAACTCTGTGTGTGTAACTGTCTGCCTGTAACTGTGTGTATGTGTGTAACTGTCTATCTGTAACTGTGTGTGTAACTGTCTGCCTGTAAGCGTAAGTGTGTGTAACTGTCTTCCTGTAACTGGCCCTTACCCACTGCTGTTACTGCTGCACATGGAGGTGCAGCAAGATGGAATCCCTGCTCCTCCACTTAACAGGCTCCAGCCAGGGAAGGACTTAAGGGAATCCACTCCTCCAGCCCACACTGTCTGTAAGTAAGAGTGTATGTATGTGTGTGTGTGTGTGTGTGTGTAACTGTCTGCCTGTAACTGTGTGTGTGTGTGTGTGTGTGTAACTGTCTGCCTGTAACTGTGTGTGTGTGTGTAACTGTTTTCCTGTAACTCTCTGTGGATGTGTAACTGTCTGCCTGTAACTGTGTGTATGTGTGTGACTGTCTGCCTGTAACTGTGTGTGTGTGTGTAACTGTCTGCCTGTAAGTGTGTGTGTAAATGTCTTCCTGTAACTGTGTGTGTGTGACTGTCTGCCTGTAACTGTGTGTGTGACTGCATGCCTGTGACTGTGTGTGTGACTGCATGCCTGTGACTATGTGTGTAACTGTTTGCCTGTAAGTGTAAGTGTGTGTAACTGTCTTCCTGTAACTGGCCCTTACCCACTGCTGTTACTGCTGCACATGGAGGTGCAGCAAGATGGAATCCCTGCTCCTCCACCTAACAGGCTCCAGCCAGGGAAGGACTTAAAGGAATCCACTCCTCCAGCCCACACTGTCTGTAAGTAAGAGTGTATGTATGTGTGTGTGTGTGTGTAACTGTCTGCCTGTAACTGTGTGTGTGTAACTGTCTGCCTGTAACTGTGTGTGTGTGTCTGCCTGTAACTGTCTGCCTGTAACTGTCTGCCTGTAACTGTGTGTGTGTAAGTGTCTGCCTGTAACTGTGTGTGTGCGTGTAACTGTTTGCCTGTAACTCATTGTGGGTGTGTAACTGTCTGCCTGTAACTGTGTGTATGTGTGTGACTGTCTGCCTGTAACTGTGTGTGTGTAACTGTCTGCCTATAAGTGTAAGTGTGTGTAACTGTCTTCCTGTAACTGTGTGTGTGACTGTCTGCCTGTAACTGTGTGTGTGTGTGTGACTGCATGCCTGTGACTATGTGTGTGTAACTGTTTGCCTGTAACTGTGTGTGTGTAGCTGTCTGCCTGCAACTGTGTGTGTGTGTGTATAACTGTCTGCCAGCAACTCTGTGTGTGTTTGTGTGTAACTGTCTGCCTGTAACTTTGTGTGTGCGTGACTGTTTGTCTGTTACTGTGTGTATGTGTGTAACTGTCTGCCTGATACTGTGTGTGTGTAACTGTCTGCCTGTAAGTGTGTGTGTGTGTAACTGTCTGCCTGTAAGTGTGTGTGTATGTGTGTGTGTGTAACTGTCTGCCTATAACTGTGTGTATGTCTGTGTAACGGTCTGCCTGTAACTGTGTGTGTGTGTGTCTGTCTGTCTGTAACTGTGTGTGTGTGTGTAACTCGCTGCCTGTAACTGTGTGTATGTGTGTAACTGTCTGCCTGTAACTCTGTGTGTATAACTGTCTTCCTTGACTGTATGTGTGTGTGTGACTGTCTGCATGTAACTGTGTACGTGACTGCCTGTAACTGACTGTGTGTGTAACTGTCTGCCTATAACCGTATGTGACTGTCTGTCTGTAACTGTGTGTGTGTGACTACCTGCCTGTGACTGTGTGATGCTGCCTGTAACTGTGTGTGTGTGTGGCTGTAACTATGTGTATGACTGTCTGCCTGTGACCATGTGTGTGACTGTATATGTGACTGTCTGCCTGTAACAGTGTGCGTGACTGTGTGTTACTGCTTGTAACTGACTGTGTGTGTGTAACTCTCTACCTGTGACTGTGTGTATGACTGCCTGTGACTATATGTGTGACTGTCTGCATGTGACTGTGTGCGTGTGACTGCGTGTAACTGTGTGTGACTGTCTGCCTGTAACTGTGTGTGACGGGGTGCAGGGATTTTGTAGAAGAGGGCAGGGGTTTTAAAAACTTTACAAATTTGTGCAATACATTTAAAAAAAATGTAAAAAAAGAACACATTTTAAAAATTTTGTAAGTTGGGGGTTTTTTTGGAGGGGGGGTGCCAAACCCTGGACCCGCCCCGGGTGCCACATGCTCTAGGTACGCCCTTGGAATGCAATACTTAAAATTAATCATGATAGGTTTACTTTAACATATATCTATTAATTTATCATAGTGATATATATTTTTTTATTTTTATCTTTTAATTTTTTTTCTGTAAATGTTCCCAAAATGACAATCCCTCACGTACATACATATATGTTATTTAAAGCTTGCCAAGGTTAGTGCTCAATAATGTAGGTTACAGCACAGAATCACATTTGCATAAAACCATAGAAACAAGAAAATGGAAGAAAACATAAGAAGACAGTACGGTTGTACCCCATTTTCCCTAACTACCCATGAGATAGTGTATAAATAACAGTGAACAGCCCACAAACATTTGTCAAACTATACCACTTTGTCAAGAAAAATCATAGTGATTAATCATATATTTAATGGCTTAAGGAAATGGTAACGTGTCAGTGGCACAGGCTTTATATAGACATAGCATCAATCCACATCTTAAACCTTAACCCTTCCCTCCTTTTTCACTATTCGATTTGCCACTTTATGTTG